GGAGCTTGATGAATGGCACCTCAGACACAACGCGAGCCTAAAAACAGCAGACGATGAGAAATAAACCACTTTGGTGTTTCTTAGAACAAATATAAATACTTGCTGTTAGGAACTGGGACCTAATGACCCATATACACTAAACTAACCGTCAGAGCCAGCGGTGACATTAAGCTTGCGTGCTGCTAGCATCTGAAGGAAAAAAGAGACAGCTTCCACCTGCTGACCTGGATTCTCCACCTGCATCACAACACATTGTGTGCTGATGAGAGAGCAGTGCTACATACATCACACATGAAGAACACAAACACAGGACGGCTTTCTGTCTTTAAAAAATACCATGATAATTGGGTTGTTCATTTCTGAGCAGAATCCCAATCCCAGGAAGGACATGGCCTGAAACAAACAACCTCTAATCAGTCTGAACAAATGGCGTGTCTAATTCTAAATTCCCAGAAAGCCTGCCGCTCACACCTATGACATGCACCCCTCATTTCCCTCAGGGACATCACCCAACATACAAAGGTTGCTGGAAATAAAACGATAAACACTCCAGTGAAATCAAAGAGATCGGAGCGAGTTTGTCAGAGAGATCTACATCACTGAGCAACGGCATGCTAAATCATCTGAACAACAGTGTTACAAAGCAGAAATAAACGGGAGAAGAGCATTAATCTAGTCAGCTCGGTGTTTATGGCTCTGTGAAAGCACTCTAAGATTTAGCCAACTTTTCTGATAATGACAAAATGGATTATCTATTTAGTTTACTTATGGTGGAGGTGTGGGTGCAAAAGGCTTAAATGAAATTCCTGTCGGGGGTTAAGGTCTCAGGTTTAGTTATTGGATGAGGATCAACATAACATCACATCAGTGACACAAAGGTCCTTTTGTAAAGTTCATCAAACCCCTAAAATGACTCGTGCATTTCTCAACATGTTATGGAAAAGTTCTTAAATTAGCCATTGAATGTAACTCTGGACTGCAGACAGAACTGTTCCACATATCCAATGTGTTGCCCACCACGATGCCTGTGTGTATTGCGACATGTAGAGCGCACAGCGAGGAAGATGTGGAGGCTCATTGTGCTGTCTGGTGTGATGTGATAAGCTCAGATCACTTAGATGGCACAAACAGAGCCCTAATCTATGAACTTGCGGTGTACTTATATTGTGGGTGAATTCAGACTCACATTCTCTCCAGCAGCTTTCATCCAATTGTCTTGATCTGATAAAATCATATCTACAGAACATGCTGTCCCTTTTTCTGTTTATGTTCCCTCAAAGAGAAAAATGGCTCTGAAAATTCAATACGAAATAACAATAACTACACCAACAGCAAATCAATATTGTATGAATTACCGACCTCCAGCTGTTCGGTTCAAGTGAGGCTGGATCACCAGATCCTACAGGGAACGTTGCAGAACTTAGAGCTGCTTTATCAGACCTTCAGGGGATCCAGAAGATGTCTGACCTGCCATTAGAAATGCTGAGCGTGCACAGCTCTACAGCCCCCAGTGACCAATCACATGGATTAGACCCAGAGGGGCTCCATTATAGCCCAACAGTGTCTATTGTTCAGTCATCAGTACTTACCCACAACTTGATGCTGAGAGAAATGATTGATTATCAGATAGAAATAAAAAGGAGAAGTATATTATTTATTTGTTCTATATTAATGATTTATCATAAATGGTGGTAACCACCACATCAATATTCAACTCAATCACATATTAAACATAGCCACATTCATTGTGGAGCCATGAACGCATTTCAACCATGGAACCTTTTCTGGAATTGAAATCACAGATACATTTGAAAACTTCAGATCTAGAAATGAGTCTTATTGTGGATGACCTTTAACCATATATCTTTTGATAATATACACTTCTCTCTATGCATTCCATTCCTAACCTTAAATGTATGACAGTTTTTAAAAGGACTATGAATAAACCTTTAGCAGAAAGGTAATAAAAAAATTGGGAAAGTCCCCAATTTCCAGATTTTTCATGAAAAAAGAAAGATTATTGCCCTCCACCAATACTTCTTTCCTTCTCCTAAGGCAATTTATTTAGCCGTGTGGGGTGTTGGCAGAATCATGTATCATGTAACATGTCAACATGTGTCAGGAAATGTAACGTGGCATCCTAAAGCGAATAGACAAAAGCTGAATGAGAGGAGGAAGTATCGTCAGGAATATGGTTCCTGTCTTGTTTCAGGAGAGTAAAATCAGTGATATTAGACATTCAGGATTTCTTCTCCTGGTTTTGGAGGGTTTTATTTTTTCCTTCCCTTTAAATTAGTGATGAAAGTGATGATGTTATTTTTAGGTTTAGGCAAGAAAACATTCAAATCTTGCCTCTGCAACAACAAACACTGACTTCTGAGCATCTTAATGTCCGTAATCTTGAAAACAGCAGAAGAACTCACCTCATGATTTCCCCCTGGATGGATGAGTCTCACGCCTTTCACACGAGGGCTTCCTGCACACCTCAGACTCCAGACAGCCTGCTCTGACAGATATGAAATGAGCATCATTTATTTATACGCTACAGTCAGGGCAGGAAACAAGTTGTGTTCAGTTCATCTGCTCCTGTGAGACTGACCTGTCTAAAAAACATCTCAAACAGATGCATGGTGCCATTGTAGCTTCAGATAGATAGA